TGTTTAGGTGCACGGTATGACTACTCAGGTTGCCATACATCTACTTGGGAGAAATTTTTATAGTCTCTGTAATAGGTATCTAAGATCCCTCCATTGTTTCACAAACTCAATGTTTTCCTTAGCTGCATCCAACAACTAAAGCTTTGTAGATGAAAGTAAATTAATAAAATGTGAAGTAATTCTTGTTACTTCAGATATTTTTGACTCATTCCCAAGAGAAATATAGTATGAGATGTTTAAAAATAAAGGGTAGCCTCTTAACTTCTATTCCTGGGCCGTTTTTCAGATGTGTTTTTAAGTCAGTCTGAATTTTGTTTTCCTATAGGCTCTGTGATTGGCATGCCTGTCCTTTCCATTTAGCAGCTGCTTCAGTGTTTTCAAAGGAGCTTACTTGCTCAAGGACCTTTAGAATTATATTTCCTAGCACTGACTTTACCTAGATAATTTGAAATCAGATGTCACCCAGAGCCAGAGTAAGGAAAAATAAAATAGCAGTTCTTGCCTTTGGGTCTTTACCTGCGCCTCATGTTACTTATCCATTTTTAAAATGTAAGATTTTCTTAAGATTCACATGTAAGATTGAGCACTACATTCTGTGATTCACAGCTAACGATAATAGGAATGTGCTTTGACAGTACATAATGTTTCTGTTAAGTCTATTGGAATGAGGATTTTGTTTGTTTTCTTTCAGTGTCCAAGAGAAAGGTAGAATCATAAATAAGTGTTTACTTACTGTTTTCATTTGAAACTGTACATACTTATGGTTTTCATGTGAAACTTTGACTTAGTGTGCTACTAGAAATCTTACACCTGTAAGTGTAGCAGAGGCTTGGAATGCACTTCCGAAAAGTGACATCTAAGTCGGGATACATCTAAGAGCTTATGCCAGTGTGAGCTGTGTTGCATTGGAAATCTTAAAAAAAAAAAAAATCTACCCAAAAAAAAAAAGCTTTGTGATTTTCCTGAAGTTAGAGATCAGATCAGTGGGAAAGTTTCAAATAGAATCTGGATCTGGATCTTGCCATAGATGCAGATCTCTACTGTCTGAATCTTACCATCTATAGAGTGGGGAAGAAATATCACAAATTAAGTCTCTTTTTGTACCCAGAAGATTAGATACCCCTATCTACATCCATAGGCTTAAAGACATTGATTAAACTATGTTTTTGATCTGCATAGCACCTAATACTATTTTTATATGCAACAGGTGTTTGAAATGGATATTGCCAAGCAGTTGCAAGCTTATGAAGTTGAATACCATGTGCTTCAGGATGAGCTTATAGATTCATCTTTAAATGACAATCAGAGACTGGATAAATTAGAAAAGGCAAACAGTAGCTTGCGCAAACAGAACTTTGATCTCCTGGAAGAACTACAGGTACAATTTATGTTTCCTAGTAATATTGTGATTTATCCATCTTTTCAGAAGACACTGTCTTCCATTAAGACCCGAAAGAGACTGGTGTTCCACCCAGTGACTTAAAGTTTTGACACTTGTGGTTTTATTTAGTACCTTTCAAGTTTCAATGCAAAAGAAATGCACAGAGGGGGTAGATAGAACATATGCTTGCAGTCAGTGAGAAGTTTATTCATCAAGCTGTCTCTCCTCTTTTAATTAAAATAACCGTAGACTATGGCTAAAAATACTCTTAAGCACTTTCTCGACTTCATTTTTACACATTCAGTCACTGCGTTATTAGAGCAGAGACACAAGCCCATCACAAATGGAAAAGCTAGCGCCAGTGCCGCAAATAAGCGAGATATCACCTAGGGGACATGCTATCTATAAAGACATAGTCCTTCTTGCAACGTTGTTTTCTTGAAAAACTGTAGTCCAGCTTGCTTAGAAACTGAAATAATCACTAATATGTGCTCTTTGCCTATGCAGTCTGCAGCTGTCTCAATGCCTAATTTGAAACTTGCCTTACAGGGTGATAGACAGGCAGCGCACCTGATATCTGTAGGGATTTTTCTTTGCTATACTGTTCAGGAAGTAAACTTTCTGGCTATATTACATCCGGACACTTATTAAATCTTTTGACCACACAACTAGTTTGATGGTGAAAGGGAGGTTGAGGGTAACAAGTAGACAGTGTGCTCTATTGGCAAATTCAAGCCTTCAGAGACCTTGTAAGATTAAAAAATAAATGAGGGAACGGGTTCAGGTTTTTCAGCTACAGATCCTGTATCATGATTAAAGCTAGCTATCAGTGCAGGCTTCTTCTCTACCAGGAAGATCTGATTAATCCGTAAGTTCTGATCCTGTGAGGAAAAAAATACCATGGTCCAAGTTCCAAGATCCGCCCTAAAGAAGTCAGGAAAGAAATTCCTTTGCACAATATTTCCCAGAGCTTCAGGCATGTGGGCAGAGCAATTGACAGATGGTGGTGTAGGAGAAAGGGATTTCCAGGATGACATTCATAATGAGATCTTCTGTGAAGATACCCCATGTCAAGCTATCGTCTAAACTCTCCAGTTCCTAAATCCTTTTCATCCCTAAGCAGTTTTTTATGAAGCTCCTGTCCTCTTTAGTGCTGAACAGCTTGGCACCTAATATCCTAGTGGGGACCTCGCCTGCTATTGCTCTGCCATTTCTTGGTGTTGGAGAGGAGGCTCTGTACTCTTGGTTTCCTATAGAGGATCTCATAGGTGAGGTCCTTTACTCATGTGAAAATGTATCACCCAACACGGTTCATCAGCCAAAGACTTCCCTTGTAATCATGCCATAATTAAAGGAAGGTCAGGTAGCTCACTGAGCAGCAAATTGCTCTCCTGAAAGTCAAGACCACCCAGTGCTGTAACCTTTAGACATTATGCAGTGTTGAAGCTTTCAAGCAGGTCACTGCTTTCATCAGAATACTTTGGCCACAGGTCTCATAGCATGTATTGAACGAACTGACACCTTGCTTCACTGTGAAGCAGAATATACATGTGGACAGCCTTTTAAATTAGAATGAAGAATATGCAGTAACTGGAATTTTTCAAGATGTGTTGTCTGTTTATATGTTATACCAAATCACCTTCTTGCCCTTTGACACCGAGTCTACAATTGCTGGGCTCAGAGTTGGCACAGCCGAGTAGGTTGTCTTTGCTTTGTAGAGCACCTGGAATGCAACATACAGCTGGTCAAAACTAGCTTTCCCACTGTCCCATGCAGAAGCTTATTTTAACCTTGAGTTTGCATCAGTAAACTTATAATTTTGCCATACGAACTCTGGAATTTCTGTACTCTAATGCCTACAGAATACAATTTTTTTGTAAGCAAAATCTTGTGCTAAAGTAAAAAAAAAAAACTAAAGTGAATAAAAGACTTCACCCAGTATGCTTAGGAATTTAGCATATAATTCATAGACTTAGTAACCCTCTAATTTGATCTGTTGTGCATTATAGTCTAAGTTCAGTCCTGTGAAACAAAGCAGTCAAGCTGCGAGAGGGAGGTTTCTCGTTATGAGCAGTGCCATAGCAGTAGGCTAAAGTATACAGGTCTAATAACTAACATTCATAATTGAATTTACCTTTTATAGTTTTGCATTATCTTGGAAAGTCTCTTTTAGATGTATTAATGTATCTCAAAAAATAATCTAGACTGGTTCCAGTTCTTAATGAATTTTTGTTTTCTCCTTGTTTCTCTTTGTTGAAGGTGGCTAATGGAAAGATCCAAAACCTGGAAGCCACTGTGGAGCTTTTACTGACCAATGAAGGCAAACTGAAGGAGTCAATTCTCACTCTTGAACAGGAGCGGGAAGCTTTACTGAACACAGTGCAAAAGTTGCAGAAAAAGATCAGTGATACAGATGGGAAACCTGCACTTATTAGGCAAGAGCACATGGATGCTGACTGACAGCTGCAGTTGTAATGGAGCAGACCAGCTGAGCAAAAAGCAAAGGGAAGAACTGAGGCTTTTTGTACTGATAACACAGAGACATGACACTGTCATCCTCACTGTTGCACGCCTTCCTGTAGCAAAGCAAGGCATGGGCATGGTGACTGCCCAAATCAGAGAAACGAGGTCCTTGGGCTCCCTCTCATTAGTGTGTAGAAAAGCTTTCAACAGTAAGATGCCACGTGATCATAATGAGCAGGAGAAAAGCCTTTTTCAGTAAATAGCACGGGCAGTCACATACAATACACCGTAAAGCTGTCCTGGATTCTTCCATAAGTGCTTCTAAACCTAAGTGCTTTGTGTTCGTTACATATTTTGTGTTTTATACTTAGATCAACTCCATGTTCTCGTCCTTTAGAAGGCTGAGGGAAGAGCTGTGAGGGACGACTTCCTCACTGTAGCTACCCAAGGGTAGCGTTTGCAAAGAGTTTTGTGATTGGACTCAAGATACTTCTGGCAGTGTAAAACCCCTGACGCTTTGCTGGGTTCTGTTAGCTGTGTTGTTTACACCTCGGATAACTGCTTCCTGCTGCACTCCAGAGAGCTGGGCTTCATCGTATGTGACTGTGCTTAACTGGGGAGCTGCCACGTGTTTTTATAAGTACACTGTTCTAATCCATTTTTGTTTAACATTCACTGGTTTAAAGTATTGCTGGTTGGCATTATCTGATAAACATACTGTATAAAGTAACTGTATTATGCTCCGCAAAATGCACTGATATTGGCTTGATGAAGTCTGTGACTCTTGCAACATCATCCAAGGATTTGTACTCAAACCCTTCAAGTATCATTTTATTTATTGCTGATCTGCTGTGATGTAAGACATCCTTTTTTTTTTTCTTTCATTTGGGACTCTGTGCCCACCCGCTCTCTGGAAATGTTACTCCTCAAGACCATTTTCTGAAGCAGTAAAGGCATTTCAAAAGCTTGATGTTGTGCCAGGTATCCTTAAACTGCTTTATAAGGGATTACAATGCGTCTTTTGAGTAAGATTACATATGTAAAACAATTTCACTTTCCTTAATACTATGATAGTAATTTTCAGGCCAGTTAAAGCACCACTGCTACAAGTGCAATAATATCCATGGATATTCAGTTTTGGGGATTTGCTTCACAATTAGACTAAACAGTGCCACAGTTTTGTTTTTAATCCCCCAGCACAGTGTCAATAGTGTTGTTATGGTGGAGATAAACCCAGGCGATGTGATTTTTTTTTTAATTGTTATTTTTTTATTTTTAAATTTCAAAACACAGTTTTTATTCTGTGGCTGACAGTGTAGAAAAGGTTTTGTTTTGCTTTTCCCTCTCTTCATGCAAATTCCTGTGACACATTTTGGTTGTAGTTTAATAAGAGAACTGTAACATTCATCAGCTGTGCAGAGCAAATACTGTCACATAGGCCAAAAGCTAAAGAGAGAATTTACTCTTCAGTTTCTAAGAGCTTTGTTGGACTTCTGTCAAGAACCATGCCTGGTTTCTTGCGAATCTACTCTGTATTCACTTAGTATTGAAATTTCAGATAAAAATATTATTATTAATCCATTTACCTTTTTAGGCCTCTTTTTTTTTTTTTTTGAAAACCATATTGAAGCTTATGCTTCACATTTAAAATGTTGTCATAATGGACCTCATATTGTTAGAACTCCATAACATTGTGTAATATGGCACCTTAGTGCTGTAATTCATACACTGACTTTTTAAACAAAAAGAGCAATAAAACAATAATATAAGCCTACATCTATGCATCTACTTTTTTATATTCTTATATTTAAAAACAAAAATTTAGTTGTTGGGGTGGCAGTTTAAACCTTATGAGTGTTCCCTGAAACAGCAGCAGATTCCTGCGGTGGCTGCTAATGACCTCTTAGACCTCAGACCCCTAAACATGCTTTGGGTCCATCTGCAAGTGCATCTGAAGGTCGTGGCTGAGGTGAGGTACGTTCCGCATGGCTGCAGGAATGTTTTTTTCTGACTTCTTTCTGAGTGTAAGTGGAGGGACTACCTCTAGTCCAAAGTCTTTTATCAAGAATCTGTATAATTCCAGAAGTAGATGCTAAGGTAGATGTGAACCAAAAAAACCCTTTCCTTAAAACATACAAATGTTGTTATTATATAACTAACATGAACATAGAGATGTAATTGTTTCATTGTACCACAGAGATGAATTTCCTATGGGTAAACCTGTACATGTGCAAATTAGTAAGATTAGTTAAAGATGCAAACACCAGGCAAGGCAAGTCCAGTAGTCCAGGGTCTGAATGTTAACGAAATAGCTGCTTTAAGACTGCCTAAATTGAAGCAGATGTTGCTTCATCTTTTTTTCTCTTACCATCATATGCTCTTTTTTTTTTTTAATTTTGTCATTAGGCTTTTCCAGTTCAAGAAGCCAAAGTGGAAGAGTGGAGGAAGTACGGAAGCTGTATCTCTTACCCAGTTAAATTAACTTTAGAAAAGCTTGGGGTATTTCCCTTCCAAAATAAGTGAGAGAAGTAAATGAGCTTGGAGCTAGCTCCAGCACATGCATCCTTCCCAAAGTACATTCTTTATCTGTGCATTCTTGAGGGTAGGTAATACCAGGTTTTCTGTTGGGTCTGAGGAGCAGCAGTGGTTGTCGCATACTGTCTTGCATATGAACAGAATTTCCCAATAGGCCTTTGTAGCTGGGGCACCTGCTCTGATGTGTGTTGTGTCACTCAACTTGGGGTGGGTTGGTTGGTTGGTTGTTTTTTCAGGCTGATGGTATGGTGGCATGTATGAGTACTTGGGTTGTTTTTTCAGGCTGATGGTATGGTATATGACTCCCTGTGCTTCTGGCTGTTCTGTTTTATGTTTTGTCCTATTGTGTGTTTCCAGAGATGGTTACTTAATCCCTAGCCTGAGAATGACCATGCAGTGCTTATCTCCTGAGAGATACACTGTGTGGAAGCAGCCATGTTGGGGGTCTTTCCTTGTTTAGGTTCAAAAAGGAGCTCAATGACTTGCATCAGATCTTGCTCTTGCTTTTGATTCATTGATTGCTGGGCCTGAAACCAAACTGTCTCAGGTTATGATCATAAGCTGTCTTGCGGTTGCCTGAAACATTGTTTTTGAAGGTCTGTAGCACATCCTTGGCCTATAATCCAGAGGTTGCTGTGCTGGAATAGCATGAAAACGGGCAGTGCAATTGCTGGAGCCTTTGCCCTTTCCTGGCAGCTATACCTGTCTACCAATTATAACTCAATTCCACTAAAAAAATCATCTCCTCACCAGGTCCTGTGCATTCTCTGGCATCCTCCAACCTCTGCAGCTTCTGGGCTGGGCATACTGCCAGTATTGCTGAGTATCAACAGAGTATTATTACATAACCAATCCACTGGTATTCTTAAGACCTTTTTCTAATATAATCTCTGGTAAGAGTCACTGTTAGGATGAAGTTCTGAAGTTGCAGCTAGTAGGATGCTGAATGAAGGATAGTAACCTTCATGGAGCAAAGAGGTGATGCTGTTAGTTGTTAGTGTTTTCCTGCACTGGGATCTTTTTGGAACTTGTGGTGGAGCAGGGCACTGAACTCTTTTGAGTTCAGGATCACCACAGGAACTGCTGGAATTCCACCGTAAGAAAGCAGCCTCGTAGGACAGCGTGGCACAACATACCACAACTTCTCAGCAAGGCTGCATGAGAGAGTGTTGGGGCTCTGAGCACATGCCCTCCTCTCCTGGGGATTTAGCCAACTGGGCCTGGGCCAACTTAGATAATGCAGACATTTGGCTTTGAGATGATTCTGCTGCCCTTGAGGATATTCATCAACAAGCTGGAAGAACCTTCCCATGCCTCCAGTGATGGGAGCTGTGTTGAAGCTGAGGCTCTTGCACTTGCCCCCTGCCTGAGCTGTGCTGCAGTTGTGCTTGTGCTTGTCCATATTCCCTGTTGATCCTGAGCCATGGGCCTGGCTGCCTAACTTGACCTCAGACCTCTACAATCACTGTGGACGGGCCTGGTGATCTACCAGCTTAATCTGGTTACTGTCACCAGACCAGCTCTGCTTGTCCTGCTCAGGTGCTATGGGTCAGCCCCCGTGTCAGTGAAGCATTGCCCTTGCCTGCCTGGCCGTCACCTCAGCTCCTGCCTCACTCGACCTCTCAGAGCAGCACCTGCCCTTGCTGCGCCCTGATGTAGAGCCCTTCAGTATTGCCCAAGTTACTTTGTGCTGCTTCTCAGCCAACATGTCTATATTGCCTTTGCTTCCAGTGCTAGGCTGGTCTGAGCTTGTTGGGGTGTCTCTGCATGCCACTGCACTCTAGCGAGCAAACAAACCAGTTGTCTTAGAGCTTGCTTTGGGACCTCTAACACAATGGTCGCACTGTGCAGAAGTGCCCTTATTAGGCCCCTATCTACTTCAAAATACTCTAATCAGGTTGTTTTCCACTTCTAAGAGTGTGTTCTATATTTGCATACTGTGTTGGTGATGCCCCAAAAGTGCCCGAACTGAAAAGGATACATTTTGTCTACAGCTGGATGTATGCCATGATTGCACGAGGCCTGAGGTGCCTTGGAGCACTGTGCAGTATTTGTACCATGTCACACCCTGTGATGTGAAATAATTCCTCCTTTACCAGAGCTTTACTAGAGCAGGTACGTGGGAGGAAGAATGTTGGCAGCCAAGGTAACCGGCGGGAGGGCAGCCCGGGCATTGCCTTGGGAAGGAGCATGTGTGGGTTACGCCACCTGCGTTTTACATAACCTGAATTAGGGTGGATCACTCAGCGCTCCTTTGCTCATGCAGCTGCTGGAAAGTGTTCCTTTCATCTGTACAAACCTGAGGCTGCAGGAATTCAGTACCTCACAGTAGGCTTTTTCAGCATAACCCAGAGCAAATCAGCGAGTGCTTCATTATGTAGAAGACTACTTGCTCCTTTGTATAAGTGTCTGTCTTCTAAATAGTTACACTGAATGTTTCCAGTTTATTTGTAAAACTCCTAAGTTGTAGATGAGGGAGAAAACAAAAAAACAACACAGAGGGTAGAGTTCAATAAAAAGGGGTTTCTGGAAAAGTGTGAATTAGCCTTCTCCCCACCCCCAATCTTTCATACATGGTGTTTCACAACTCCAAAGAAATTCTGGGAAACTTTACTGATGGGTTGTATAAAGGG